ACACCAAAAACGTGCAGGACACTTTTTTGGTCCGCATAGGATCGCATAAGCGATCGTATAAGTATTCACACCCATGCGATCCGATTCTGCACATCGCACCGCATTTTTGCATGTCGTGGTGTAATTAAATTAACATACACACCCGCATCGGCTCATATGAACGGGGTGCGATTGTGATACGCTGCAGAATTTGCACTGAAAACGCTGCGAATTCCACACCGCATCAGTGTGAACCAGGGCTTAATATGTGATATTCTCTCTTCATGACATTCTATTTCACTTCTTATTCAGTCCTGAGGGAAATGATAATTCAGTGGGCTGAAGATCTGAATTATGTAAGACTTTGATCCATTAATGGCTTTCTTTTTCCTCCCACTAGATAAACTTAAGAACAGCAAGATCATCTTTGTGGTTGGTGAGTATGAATATTAACCAACAGAAAATATAACAATTTTTATCCAAACGTAAATGTGATTAATGCCACCCTAATGCAGCCAGGGGATGGAATAATCTGCAAACTGGAAATCCACACACTTGCCCTCCAGAGGATTTACCCCCCTTCTTGACCAGGCCATTTTTTGTGATATGGTACTGCGTTACTTTAACTGACAATTGCACGGTCATGCAATGCTGTATATAAATTAAATTTTTATGTCCTTTTTTTCCCCACAAATAGAGCTATCTTTTGGTGGTATTTGATCACCTCTGCGGTTTTTATTTTTTTGTGCTATAAACAAAAAAAAAATACCAACAATTTTGGAAAAAAAAATACTTTTTGCTATAAAACATGTCCAGTAAAAAAAAAAATGTAAAATCAAATTTACTCAAATGTAAGCCAAAATTCTGCTGCATGTCTTTGCTAAAAAAAAAATTCCAATACATGTAAACCAACTGGTTTACGTGAACGTTATAGCGTTTACACACAGGTCTGTCCCCTGTCATTGTTTCACGGCGATCGCAGGGTGCCGGTGGGGGATCTCCAGCCGGGACCTGGTGATCGACATCTGTAGCCACCAATGGCGGCATGGGTAGGGCAGCAAGAGCGTGCACGCATGCCCCCTACCCGGAAATGCAAATTACATATATATATATATATACGTGATTTTGTGCAGCCCTGCCATCATGTTGTAGTATTTCTGCGGGGAAGCAGTTAATCAACGCTGTACTGGGGCGGCACAGTGGCTAAGTGGTTAGCACTTCTGCCTGGCAGTACTAGGGTCGCCGGTTCATATCCCAACCACAGCACCACCTACCTGGAGTTTGCATGTTCTCCCTGTGCCTGCGTGGGTTTCCTCGGGGTACTCCGGTTTCCTCCCACACTCCAAAGACATGCTGGTAGGTTAATTGGCCCTAGTATGTGTATGTATGAATGTGAGATAGGGACCTTAGATTATACACCCCTTGAGGGTTAGAGACTGATGTGATTGTACAATATATATGTAAAGAGCTGCGTAAATTGATGGCGCTATATAAGTACCTGAAATAAACAAATAATACTGAATTTTAACAGAAACAAGTGTATGTAAAGAGAAATAGTTTCATTTTGGATAAAATACAGAAGAGATTAAGTCTCCTCTCAGCTTTTATTTGCGGTTTGTGTCCTGTCAGGGAGATTTACCTTCACTTCCTGTCTCGGAGACACATCAGGAAGCAAGGGATATCTCCTTTTAGACAGTTGTCACTGAAACAGATGTCCCTGTGTACTAGAGATAATGGGCATCAACACAAGAAGAGAGGGTGAATCTTCACAGTAGAGGCCAGTGTCAACCAAACTCAGAGCTAAAAATGGAACACTGCAGAAAGCCTTATTTGATCACAGTTGAATCCCTTGAGATATGTAAATTCACATTTATTTATTTAAAGATGTATGCTCAAGAGATTAAATAGATGTTAAGTAAAGAAAATTCCACAAGCAGGGGAGTACTGGTGGGCATTTGCCCCGAGGCAAGTACTTCTAATATATGGCTATAAGGTGAGCTACAACAAAATGGCACACGTCTGCACGCTGCCTCAGTATACAGTGGGCTCCTTTTAGTAAAAAATGGGCTTCAGATTGGTCTTACACCCATGGGAGAACCCCCCTCCAACATGTTTCGTCCAGAAGGGGCTTAATTGTAAAGACCCCTACTGAGAAAAACATGTTAGAGGGGATTCTCTCATGGGTAGAAAACCAAGCTGAAGCCATTTTTAACTAAAAGAAGCCCACTGTATGCCAAGGCAACATGCGGATGGGTGCCATTTTGTTGTAGTCCTCAATGTGTCTGATGAACCAGTATTTAAGCCAACAAGCACCTGCAAACATTGCGGCCAGTCAGCTGGGATACTAGAGTGGGGCATTTGAACAATATCAATTTTATTTGTTTTTTGGCCCTAAGTGGAGCTACCTCCCTGTTCAGACATTGATCTGAACAAGACTCACAGTCAATGACAGCTGTTAGACATTTTAGAACTAGCTGCTCCCTATTCAGATCTACAGTACATATATAGCATTTTACAGAGGGAAGTCTTCCACCACCAACTTCCTCTGCAGTTCTACAATGTCATGTGACCAAATGCCAAGAGCTGCAAAGCAAGATCTAAAAAGATGTCACCATAAACCTTGTCCTTTAGGAACATCAACATTTCACTATGCCCACCAGTCATGGTCACACATTGCAGGGTACGCTGTCTTTAGCTCACAGAAATCTGTCAATACCATAATTAGGGTAGGTGGTTGTATCCAGTCCTCCCCTGACAACAGCAATTAACAGAAGGAGATATAATAACCTTTAAAAAAGGAACTCCTGGAATTATCTTTTTTCTATAATCACATTGGTCCAGTTTGGTTTGATGTACGTATCTGTATCTGATATCCAGAAGGTCATTTGGAATGCTGAAAATCACTGTAGTGTTCTGAGCTGTGGCCTCTTCCCTTGTTCCTTATGATCACAGGAGTGCTCGCTCTGTACCACTACCATTCAGAGAATGCATTTTTTTTTAATGAATACAGGGCATTCTCTGATTAGATTAGGTGGAAAGGAGGGGCAGATGAGGTCGTGATCTCCACCTCGTCCAATCAGTTACTAATATTAGTTGGAACCAGATTTTTTTTGTAGTAAAAGGATTTTAAAGGACATATTAGATACTACTGGTACCATACAAATACATATATTTACAAGTCAATATTTTATTATACAAAGAATAAAAATACCCAAGCACTACTGACGGATGTTCAGGGGTCACAGGGGTCGCAATTGCGACCCCGCCTATGCTGTAGGGGGCCGTGTGGCCTTCCTGTAACCAGGGGTGGCACCAGGGGAGTGCTGTAGTACCTCAAAAAAATACTGCTAGCACCTCTATATCTGCGATCAGGCCTGCCCATAGAGAGGTACAGGCTGCCTCTGGCTTTTTCTCCTGGGTGCAGTGCACTGCAGCTTTCTGTGCCTGACTTTTAGCCTCCTGTGGCAGGAAACCCGTATTGTCTCTCTCTCCCAGCCGGCTGCCTCCCCAGGGGCTAGCCTAGATGGTGGACGGGGCAGGAGTGTGGCCAACTTTCCTTACATGTACAGGTGGCCACTGTTGCAGAAAGTGGTAGAGGATGGGAGGAGGAACATAGATGGCGACCCTGCGAGTCTTCACCTCCAGCCGTATGGTGAGTGACTCCTGCAGCTATTCCCTCTCTCTGTAATGCTTCTACTCTGGACTGGTTACTACATTACATGCTGCTCACTACTATCTCTCCACTGTATACTGCTGACTTCTGCCCCTCTCCCCATACCCACTATATACTGCTCATTGTTGCCCCTCTCCCAACACCCATACTGCTGACTTCTTCCTCGCCCCTCCTTCAATGTATACTGCTCACTTCTCTCCCCCCTCCACCATATACTGCTCACTGCTGCCCCATCCCAGACGTTATACTATTCTACTAATCAATGTTTCTGCTCATTATGTACTGCTCACTGCTAGCCCCCCCATCCATGCTGCAGGGAGCCCTGCAGCCTCATCACCAGAGGTGGAGCCAGGTGGGTACTATAGCACACCTAAAAATATTGCTAGCACCCAGTGGCAGAACTACTAGGGTTGCAGAAGTTGAACTTGTGACCCGGGCCCTGGCATTCTACCACATTGAGAAGGAGACCCACTGCAGAACATGTGAAAGGATCCTGCTGTGGGACCATAATAAAGGGCCCCGCAATGGGAATAAAGGGCCCCGCAACAGGAGTAAAGGGTCCCAGGAACATTGGGAAGGGTCCCGAGCTCAAAGAGAAGGGCCCTAGGACCAGAGTTGGAGGGTGGCTTCATGGTTTCTTGCCCCAGGGCCCCGAAGGTTCTAGTTACGCCTCTGCTAAGCACAGTAAACGCACATTCCACATGCAGGCTCAGCGCGTTTCAAACATTCATGTGTCTTCTTCAGGGGCACATGTGAAAAAGATATATTACCCATGTAGTTGAACAGAATCTTTGAAAGCAAAATGTGCATATATCCCTTAAGAAGTGTTGTCAGTGTGGACCATCATTTCCATAGGGACAGAAAGGAGTGTCATAAAACCAAAAACCACCAAATCCTAGCACAAGGGACTCCAGAATAACTGCCAAACCGCTTTTCATAAATATTAGTCCAGTTAAAGAACAAAAAGAGAGCAACTGGTCTCCTTTGGTCTATATATTCCCATGCGTTCAAACTGGGCCCCAGAGCATAATCAGCCAAATATGTAATGGTCCATTCTCCAGCATCAGCAGTTCCTCTACCTGACCAAAAGCCGGACTGTTTGTAAAACATGAAAAAGAATGGCTATAACTTGTTTCTTGTCTGGTTAAAACACTTGTGGTGGGTGCAAAGTAATTTACAGTTTGCATGCTGGCTGCCATATTGTTTATGAATTTGCAAAAAGGAAAATCTGGAATTCTCCTGAAAATTCTATGTGCCCTCTATGTGTGGCTGCCAGAGACACGGAGGACAGCAGCTATATCTACTTTTTATATTCTCGCCTTGAACATTTCCGTGTTTGGCTCTTTCAGGAGGACCAGGCTCCGGTAAAGGCACCCAGTGTGAGAGGATTGTACAGAAATATGGATACACCCACCTGTCTTCTGGAGACCTGCTGAGGGCAGAGGTGTCCTCTGGATCTGAGCGAGGGAAGAATCTCTCTGCCATTATGGAGAGAGGAGAACTAGTGCCTTTGGTAAGATCACCAATAATGCTGGACACACACATTACATGGTCTGGGCAATCTCCTTTAGAGTTACAACTATGCAGGTACCATCTGGGAGGTCAATCAGCCACAGTCTAAGAAACACCTACAACCTCTGGAACAACCCTGGTTGAAAATGGCTGGTGCAGAGCTTCCGTTTCATAAGTTATATAAAATCAGTAGTACACTTACAAAAGGTAAAAGTTGAAATAGCTGTCCTTCTGCGGTATGCACTTTCCGGCCATTGACATGCTGTCTATGCGGGGGTGATAAAAACAGGATGCCGTAGTCTGGATACTGTCTTTTCCATCAATAAGCCTCCTCACCTTCTGATTGGCATTATTTACTACGTCACATCACATTGATATGACCCAGTTGCTAGGAACAAGTTTTGGAAAGATTCTCTTTCCTCAGCTGGAGATCTTTATGCCATGATTGTTTTGCTTGTGAAATATTTATTACTGTCATCTTGTAACAACCGAAGTGACTCATTGGCATCAGTGCTTCAGTATTTAAGGTTAGCATAATGAGCCCACAGAAGTCTCCTCAATATTTTCTCTATTAGAGCAGTATATGTAGATCTAGATTTAACTCTGACTTCATTTGATATATATACCTAGGTTGATCACCTACACATCGTGAGAGGCACCAGGGTTTGTGTCTAATATGGAGAAAAACTTGTTCTCATCTAGGAACTTTACTAGGTCCTCTTCTGGGTCCTGTAGCCCTGAAGACTTTTTAGATCGTTGGGTGGGATAAAGTCTGCCTGGGTCCCATCTTACCTGGGGTCCACACATTATTAGTCTCAGCTGTGGACAGGCCTTTATATATTATAACAAAAAATGGTGAAGCGCTATGCAAATGCAACAAATCAGTGTATATACACACAAATATAGGTGAATAAATATACATTAATAAGCAATAATTAAAACGTGAGACTCCAATCTTTTAAATAATATAGAGTGACATGTGCTTAAACTAAACTCTATATTATTTAAAACATTGGAGTCTCACGTTTTAATTATTGCTTATTAATGTATATTTATTCACCTATATTTGTGTGTATATACACTGATTTGTTGCATTTGCATAGCGCTTCACCATTTTTTGTTATAATTTACACATCCTGAGGTATAGGGAATAGGTGATAGCAGCTGGCTATTTATTAGGTAATTTCATAGTTGAGCGCAGGAGGATATTTCAATTTTAAAGGCCTTTATATATGTAAACTGAGCGATGCTCAGGGCTCTCTCTAATTCCCTGTGGTTGAAACCTGCTGCTGGGTGAAAAGGCTGAAGGATGGCAGAACATTAAAAGGTGCTACCTGTTTATTTTGGGGAACCCATTAGGGGACACTCTGTTAGACAGGGTGCCCCTGTCTTACGCATGGTTTACATGTGCCAATGCCAGTTTAGTCTGTCCTCTTACAACACACACACACACGGACACACACACACACACACACACACACACACACACACACGGGCAAAAAACACGTATTTAGTCACACCGCCAATTGTGCAAGTTTCTCCCACTTAAAAAGATGAGAGAGGCCTGTAATTGGCATCATAGGTAGACCTCAACTATGAGAGACAAAATGAGAAAAAAAAATCCAGACAATCACATTGGCTGATTTGGAAAGGATTTATTTGCAAATTATGGTGGAAAATAAGTATTTGGTCAATCTCAAAAGTTCATCTCAATACTTTGTTATCTTGTTGGCAATGACAGAGGTCAAACGTTTCCTGTAAGTCTTCACAAGGTTGGCACACACTGTTGCTGGTATGTTGGCCCATTCCTCCATGCAGATCTCCTCTAGAGCAGTGATGTTTTGGGGCTGTCGCTGGGCAACACGGATTTCAACTCCCTCCAAAGGTTTTCTATGGGGTTGAGATCTGGAGACTGGCTAGGCCACTCCAGGACCTTGAAATGCTTCTTACGAAGCCACTCCTTCGTTGCCCGGGCGGTATGTTTGGGATCATTGTCATGTTGGAAGACCCAGCCACGTTTAATCTTCAATGCCCTTGCTGATGGAAGGAGGTTTGCACTCAAAATCTCACGATACATGGCCCCATTCATTCTGTCCTGTACATGGATCAGTCGTCCTGCTCCCTTTGCGGAGAAAACAGCCCCAAAGCATGATATTGCCACCCCCATGCTTCACAGTAGGTATGGTGTTCTTTGGATGCAACGCAGCATTCTCTCTCCTCCAAACACGACGAGTTGTGTTTCTACCAAACAGTTCTATTTTGGTTTCATCTGACCATATGACATTCTCCCAATCCTCTTCTGGATCATCCAAATGCTCTCTAGCAAACATCAGACGGGCCCGGACATGTACTGTCTTAAGCAGGGGGACACGTCTGGCACTGCAGGATCTGAGTCCCTGGCGGCGTAGTGTGTTACTGATGGTAGCCTTTGTTACGTTGGTCCCAGCTCTCTGCAGGTCATTCACTAGGTCCCCCCGTGTGGTCCTGGGATTTTTGCTCACCGTTCTTGTGATCATTTTGACCCCACGGGGTGAGATCTTGCCTGGAGCCCCAGATCGAGGGAGATTTTCAGTGGTCTTGTATGTCTTCCATTTTCTAATTATTGCTCCCACAGTTGATTTGTTCACACCAAGCTGCTTGCCTATTGCAGATTCAGTCTTCCCAGCCTGGTGCAGGTCTACAATTTTGTTTCTGGTGTCCTTCGACAGCTCTTTGGTCTTCACCATAGTGGAGTTTGGAGTGTGACTGTTTGAGGTTGTGGACAGGTGTCTTTTATACTGATAACAAGTTCAAACAGGTGCCATTGATACAGGTAATGAGTGCAGGACAGAGGAGCCTCTTAAAGAAGAAGGTACAGGTCTGTGAGAGCCAGAAATCTTGCTTGTCTGTAGGTGACCAAATACTTATTTTCCACCATAATTTGCAAATAAATTCTTTCCAAATCAGCCAATGTGATTGTCTGGATTTTATTTCTCATTTTGTCTCTCATAGTTGAGGTCTACCTATGATGCCAATTACAGGCCTCTCTCATCTTTTTAAGTGGGAGATCTTGCACAATTGGTGGCTGACTAAATACTTTTTCGCCCCACTGTGTGTGTGTATATATACATACATACATACACACACAAAACACTGTACATTGTATATCAAGGGTAGGCAGACATTGGCCCTCCAGCCATGGTGAAACTACAAATCCCATCATGCCTCCAGCTCTGAGAGTCCTGCAGTGCCTCTTGAGACTTGAAGTTCCCCGACAGCTAGAGGGACTAAGATTGGCTACCTATTCTGTATTTGATATGAGTGACATTTTGTGCAGCTCATCTGCTTCAGGTTTCCACAATCGTATGGAGTTTGACAGCATCATGTAGGCTAAGATGATACATATGGAGCGTGTTCTTGTGATCTAGTGACATTGGGTGAATTTATTGTAATATTTAATCACGTTTTATCTGAATTAGCAGTTTTCGTACATGCCATGCACCAGCAGGTGGCGATGTATTATGGTGCTGATAACATTACATTAGTTTAGTATGAAATGCAATACTTTGTTGCAGAATTTGACACTGGAGGTAAATATACATCACAAAGCTAACAGGCCACGATTTTAAAATGATTGCTGAAGAGATCGATCCTTATCCTTACAACATCCTAGTATTTTGAATTGAACCCAATATCATTATGTAACTACACTGCTCAAACAAAATGAAAGGAACACTTTGAAAACACATCAGATCTCAATGGGGAAAAATCTCATGCTGAATATCTATACTAATATGGACTGGGTAAATGTGTTAGGAACGTAAGGATACCCCATCATTTGATGGAAATTAAAATGTTCAACCTACAGAGGACTGAATTCAAAGACACCCCGAAAATCAAAGTGAACAAATGATGCAGCAGGCTAGTCCATTTGCTGAAATTTCATTGCAGCAACTCAAAATGGTCCTCAGTAGTTTGTATGGCCCCAGGTGCTTGTATGCATGCCTGACAACATCGGGGCATGCTCCTAATGAGACGATGGATGGTGTCCTGGGGTATTTCCTCCCAGATCTGGACCAGGGCATCAATGTATTCCTGGACAGTCTGAGGTACAACCTGGCGACGTCAGATGGACCAGAACATGATATCCCAAGGGTGTTCTGTTGGATTTAGGTCAGGCAAGCGTGGGGGCCCTTCAATGGTATCAGTTCCTTCATCCTCCAGAAACTGCCTGCATACTCTCACCACATGAGGTCGGGCATTGTCATGCACCAGGAGGAACCCAGGACCCACTGCACCAATGTAGGGAATGACAATGGGGACAAGGATTTCATCCAGATACCTAATGGCAGTCAGGGTGTCATTGACTAGCCTGTAGCTGTGTGTCCCTCCATGGATATGCCTCCCCAGACCATCACTGACCCACCACCAAAACCGTCATGCTGAGTAATGTATCAGGCAGCATAACGTTCTTCATGGCTTCTCCAGACCCTTTCACGTCTGTCACGTGTGCTCAGGGTGAACATGCTCTCATCTGTGAAAAACACAGGGCGCCAGTGGTGGACCTGCCAATTCTGGCGTTCAATTGCAAGTGCCAATCGAGCTCTATGGTGCTGGCCAGTGAGCACAGGGCCCACTAGAGGACGTCGGGCCCTCAGGCCACCTTCATGAAGTCTGTTTCTGATTGTTTGGTCAGAGACATTCACACCAGTGGCCTGCCGGAGGTCATTTTGTAGAGCTCTGGCAGTGCTCATTCTGTTCCTCCTTGCACAAAGGAGCAGATAACAGTCCTGCTGATGGGTTAAGGACCTTCTACAGCCCTGTCCAGCTCTCCTAGAGTAACTGCCTGTCTCCTGGAATCTCCTCCATGCTCTTGAGACTGTGCTAGGAGACACAGCAAGCTTTCTGGCAATGGCACATATTGATGTGCCATCCTGGAGGAGTTGGACTGCCTGTACAACCTCTGTAGGGTCCAGGTATCGCCTCATGCTACCAGTAGTGACACTGACCCTAGCCAAATACAAAACTAGTGAAAAACAGTCAGAAAAGATGAGTAGGGAAAAAAATGTCACTGGCCTCCACCTGTAAAACCATTCCTGTTTTGGGGGTCAACTCATTGTTGCCCATCTAGTACACCTGTTGTTAATTTCATTAACACCAAAGCAGCTGAAACTGATTAACAACCCCCTCTGCTACTTAACTGACCACATCAATATTCCAGGAGTTTAATTGACTTGATGCTATACTCTGATTAAAAAGTGTTCCTTTTATTTTTCTGAGCAGTGTGATAAACTATATGACATACATGCGGGAAATCTGTCACAAAGAACGCCTGGATATGCAGTAGTTCACTAGCTATGCATATAGAGGAGTCACCCTGATGTGGATAATTATATGCATTGTATAGACACTATGGGGTTTATTTACTAAAGGTGGAGAGTGCAAAATCAGGCTCACTTCTGCACAGAAACCAATCAGCTTCTAACCTCAGCTTGTTCAGTTAAGCTTTGCCAATAAAACCTGAAAGCTGATTGGTTTCTATGCAGAAGTGAGCCTGATTTTGCACTCTCCAGCTGTAGTAAATAAACCCCAAAGTATCATTTAGAGCTCCTGGCTTCTTGCAGTTTTCTGCTACGTTGTCAGAGGTTTAAAGAAAGGCTATACAGTTTGCTTATTCATATATTATATTAATCAGGTAACTATGAAATATTGCATGTGGATATTTCATATGTGCCATTTGCTTCCAGCAGGAGGAGCCAAGTTTAGTTACAGCAAATCCAGCAGTATTCTCCAGACTAGGAGTAAAAACAAGGAAGGCACCAGGGATTCCTCTTGCCAGGCATTCTGCTTTCCACAATTGGCTGTAGGGAATCACATGCAGTAAGCCTGGCCATAGACAGCCCGTTTATCGGCCGATAAATGAAAAGTCGTCCGTTGCTGATGCTGCCACCAATGTCTAAAAACGAGAAGATCCACGAAAATTGTCCGACGGCATTGCCCCACTAACAGCGTGAATATCGGCCGATTTTTCGTGCGGATGAAAATTCGGCCAATAAACGACCCGTCTATGGCCTGCATAAAGGGTGGTTTAGATGGGATGTAATTAACCAATGCAGGGGCTGTCTACTTCTAGCAGTTTGTGATCTCCAGTGATTACAGGGTGCAGTACAGCATACAAATCATCTTTTATGGCACCTGCAATTGAAGGATGATTTGAAGCATATGCCTTCCTTGTTTGCAGTTACATTGCAGTGTGCAGGCATGCTAAATGTAAACAATGCAATTTAATTGGCCAGGGCACATTGATATCTGCAAAGTTGCTTGATAACCCTTGACACATAAAATATATTAAATTAATTAATGTTTTAGATGTTTATTTATCCTATAAAATGGAATTTGATGAACGCTCACTGTGACTCACAGTAAATAAAATTTACACCCCGGTCACATCGGGTGCGACTTGGCTTGTGATTTGCATGTCATGCGACTTATAAATTGTATGCCAAGTTGCACCCTATTGTCCGCTATTAGAGCGGTCATATCAGTGAAGTTCCGACTTGGTCAGAGCCGCACTGATTTCTAAAGTAGTACATGCATTATTTTTTGTGCAATTTGCATAGACATCTGTGTCAGCTGTCTTGCAAATTGCACCTCAAATCGGCAAGTCACCCGACTTCACTGCAAGTTGCACGATTTCAAAATCGGCTTCGATGCGACAGGGGTGTTAGACTTATTGCATCTGATCAAGAGCATTTTGCTTATGTGGATTCTGATTGATATATGAAGGCTTAGTCTGTATTTTGAACACCATTCTGCATGTACTGTAAACATATCAACATGTACTGAAGTTCCTCTTCCTTCCCCAGGACACCGTTCTGGACATGTTGAGAGACGCCATGGTCGCCAAAGCTGACACCTCTAAAGGATTTCTTATTGATGGCTATCCTCGTGAGGTCAAACAGGGAGAGGAGTTTGAAAAGAAGGTGAGAAACTAAACCAGACCTGGATTATAGACTTCATGTCCACAGAAGACTCAACGCTTCATAGATGTAGATGGACTTGGCTGCGGAGTTCACCAAGACAGCCCATAGATGGATTACTACTACTTTTTTTTTTTTTGTTCAACCAGCATCTGAACAAAAAAAAATTACTTTATTTCCTCATCCAAACACTCAGTGTAGATGGGAATCTTCCCCACTAAGCTATTGTGTGTGTATACTGTATATATATATATATATATATATATATATATATATATATATATATATATATATATATAGCTTAATCAGAACTACAGGCAATAGCCGGCAGCAGTCACCAGTGTATTCTGAGAGCTGGGAAGTCTCCTTACTGTCAGAACAGTAGGGAGACTTCCCAGCCGTTAGAATACACTGATCACTGCTGCCGGCCATTGCCTGCAGTTCTGATTAAGTGGGCAAAATCCAACAGGACAGTTGTATAAACACAATGCCCATGCATGGATCAAAATTCGGCTGGTTCCTGCTAAAGCGGCTAAATTTTAATCCAGTTCATGAGAAGTTGATCTATCAATCAATTGACTTCTCATGAACTGACTTGTTGGAAAATTTTGCTTCGATCAGCGCATTCAGCCAACTGGCTGCAGCACTGGACAGTATATTTTGACAGCAGGGGCTCCCACTCTAAGAATACAGTGACAGAGCCGGGAAGATAATGGCATCCACCTTGAATGTGTGGATGGGGGAATATGTTCAGATTTTTCCAATCAGTCAGATGGCTGAATGAAAAAACTGAACCATACATGGCTAGCTTTGGGCCCCTTTCACACGGAATGGATTCTATTCTAATCAGTAGGGGGATCAGCTCACAGATCCCCTGCTGATCAGAATGGGCAGGTGACACATCGGTTTCTGCAGAGTGGACACGGACAGAGCTTGTCCTGATGCATGGGCAGCCGGGAGTAAATGGACTACACTGTCCATTTACACCCCTCTACCCTCCAATCTACTCCACCTAAATGGAAGAGGACAGATCCCCTTCCGTTATGTTTTTGCAGACCAAATCAGACCCAGAGGTAAGCAGGTATAAACGGATACAAGTGTGTTCACACCACCTATCCATAAGGATGAATTTACCAATCAGGTTCGCCTGAAACATTGACAGGTGGACTTAATCAGAACGGTTATCTGAAAGGGGCCTTAATGTCATATGAGTTGCAGAGATACTTGCAACAACTCTTAAGGGCCCCTACAAGCCCTGCCTCCCCCATAGAGATGTTAATATAATCATGCTGTTTTAACATCTCATCCCTGGTGATTTGACATTACTTCACCCTTTCAGTTATGTCCCCTGTTCCAGACATCCAACACCAAGGGGTTGGTATATATAAATTATAACAGGATGCTTCCACAAACTGTGACACCTCCTATCCTGTTCTTGGATAATCATTATTTGGCTTGTCACATTTCATGATGGTTGGGTTAAGGTGGTAAGGGGTATATGTGACTAGAAATGCTGGAATATGTTCCTGACACTTAGTAGAACTGAAGACGTTGCTTGGATCAATCTGAATGTGACTATTACCATGCGTCACTATATGTATACCAGCCATAACCTGTCTGTCAGATTATTAGAATCACTACTATAACCTGCCCAATGCTTAGAACTTTAGATTATTATAACAGCCATCATCTGTCCAGTTTGTATCACTTTAATTTTATTGAATCTGTCCATTGTCTATCACTATAGATTATTGCAGTATAATCCCAGCTATAATCTGTCCATTGTCTATCTCTATAGATTATTGCAGTATAATCCCAGCTATAATCTGTCCATTGTCTATCACTATAGATTATTGCAGTATAATCCCATCTATAATCTCTGCCCATTGTCTATCACTATAGGTTATTGCAGTATAATCCCAGCTATAATCTGTCCATTGTCTATCACTATAGATTATTGCAGTATAATCCCAGCTATAATCTGCCATTGTCTATCACTATAGATTATTGCAGTATAATCTGTCCATTGTCTATCACTATAGATTATTGCAGTATAATCTGTCCATTGTCTATCACTATAGATTATTGCAGTATAATCCCATCTATAATCTGTCCATTGTCTATCACTATAGATTATTGCAGTATAATCTGTCCATTGTCTATCACTATAGATTATTGCAGTATAATCCCATCTATAATCTCTGCCCATTGTCTATCACTATAGGTTATTGCAGTATAATCCCAGCTATAATCTGTCCATTGTCTATCACTATAGATTATTGCAGTATAATCCCAGCTATAATCTGTCCATTGTCTATCACTATAGATTTTTGCAGTACAATTGCAGTATAATCCCATCTATAATCTGTCCATTGTCTATCACTATAGATTATTGCAGTATAATCTGTCCATTGTCTATCACTATAGATTATTGCAGTAGAATCTGTCCATTGTCTATCACTATAGATTATTGCAGTATACTCCCATCTATAATCGGCCCATTGTCGATCACTATAGATTATTACAGTATAATCCCATCTATAATCTGTCCATTGTCTATCACTATAGATTATTACAGTATAATCCCATCTATAATCTGTCTATTGTCTATCACTATAGATCATTGCAGTATAATCTGTCCATTGTCTATCACTATAGATTATTGCAGTATAATCCCATCTATAATCTGCCCCTTGTCTATCACTCCAGATTGCTGCTCCTTCACTCCTTCTGTACATTGATGCTGGTGCAGACACAATGGTGAAACGGTTATTGAAGCGCGGGGAGACCAGCGGGCCGGGTAGATGACAATGAAGAGACCATCAAGAAGAGGCTGGACACATATTACAAAGCCACAGAGCCAGTCATTGCTCTGTATGAAGGAAGAGGCATTGTACGGAAGGTATGGACTGACAGCAGCCAAGCAGCTCAGGAGGTTGTGGCAATGGAGACAATATGTGGAAAAGCTCCAATTCTTTCCATTTTTTGTCAAAGTATAATGTATTGTACACACTGATGCATTGAACAGAGAATTCAGGGATCAGTACTCAAAATGTATACTGAGCTTTTCTTCCTAGCACAGTGTTTGATTAGACACATGCTCAGTTCATTGTTTGCCTATTCACTTTCATTCATGAAGAGTTCAGTCCTGTTCACATGAGTGTTCTTAGGCATACATCTGTACAAAGGGCCATGTTTGCTCACATGGGATGTACAGGTGTTCTGTGCAGTCCTAGTCATGTCTTTTGGGATGCAGCGGCTGCAGACACAGTCGCTGATTCCAATGTGACGGTTGTGGGTGCGTGTTCCCGAACTCTGTGGAGGAAGATCAGACAGGAAGGCGCTTCTAAGTGCAGTATTCCAGGTCAACGTTAATAAAAGCGGTTAAAAACACTTACAATGTAGCAGTATAAACAGGCTCTAAGTAATCCGTCAATTGTGGGGCTGTATCCTCTAAGCAATGGAGCCGCTGTATATCTATATAGCCCTCCTGCGCTCTAGGCCTCCTAATCGATATTACAAAAAGCTGCTAACACTTTACCATATACCAAATAGAAAGCGAATTGGTGCTGCGCTTATTCTGAGTATGATATAAACTCCTTATAGAAATATTCCTCACAATATATTAATAATATAATTCAAAGTGAAAATACAATAATTATATAAACCAAATTAGAAATTAAAATTCATAAAAGTGCAGTGCTAAAAAGTATTTCAAAGTATAACAGTATAAAATTATTATAAAATGGTGACAGTTCGTGGTAAGGTGCTTGATACAAGAGTTGATGGTGACCAGGGGCGGACTGACCATTTGGAAACTCGAGCACTGCCCGAGGGCTCAGGGTCAGTAGGGGGCCCCACGAGATGCCCCTGGTACCTTTTTCATAGGCTTTTTTGCTTTTGGGCAAGGACACAGGGGCACCATGATCCCCTATTGCCCGGGGACCCCATGAGTTGTTAGTCCGCCCCTGATGGTGACTTCAAACTTCAGTGGCGTGCCAATAAATGATAGTAAAAATATGCACTCACCAGATGCGTATTTTTAAATACGCATATAATTAGTATGACCAGAGGTCCCTCTCTCAGGATGGGATGCAAGATGGCACGCTTGTACTGTGCATGTGTGAACGAATGATTAGGACTATAAGTAGACATGACGCACGGCACTGGCGTGATGGCCAGCCTTTCGGAAGAAGTGCTTTTGCACAAAACGCGTTAAAGGGGCCATTACGCCGTGACGTTTTGCCGCCGGCACCTAGCACAGGTCCGGCGGCCATCTTTTAATTGTGAATGGTCAGTATACCATTTTTTTGTACATCTAATTGTTTTTATCTTCACACCCCGTGGATTATTTAATAAATTGAATCATTTTAAACTACTACACTATGGGCCGTTTTTTGGTTGGCTCCTTGGAGAGCGAACGTTCATTTTTAGAGCCCATCCTAGGAGCTGAATCACATGTGGCACCATTCCAGAGGAGGGAGCAGTTCCAATATTAGCGGACAAGCATCCACCCATCCATTAAGGAGGCATCTGGCTGGATTCCATTCGCACACACCAAGGGAGAGGTCTCTGTAGCTGCCTACCACCCAGAGGGAGTAGAGTCCGTTAAAACGGGCCAACTCATCCATCCCATCCTGAGAGGGGGACCTCTAGTCATAATAATTTTATCCGTATTTAAAGATACGCATCTGGTGAGTGCGTATTTTTACTATCATTTATTGGCATGCCATTGAAGTTTGAAGTCACCATCAACTCCTGTATCAAGCACCTTACCACAAACTGTCACCATTTTATAATTATAATTTTATACTGTTATACTTTGAAATACTTTTTACCGCTGCACTTTTATGAATTTTAGTTTTTATGAGGTTTTTACTTGGTTACCTTTATGTGCATCAGCTGCTAAATTATTAAGCGCTCACTAATTATATATTTTATTGCAAATTAGAAATTAAATATTGAATAGAATACACATGAAACATCCAAAATTATGGATAACAGTGAAAAACACCCAAACATAAAAAAGGCGTAACCTAGGTACACCACTAGTAGTAAATAGGTGACTATGGGTGAAAATATATACTGCTTTTTTCCCATAAATTGTGCCAACACAAACAGTGATATGATCCATAAATAGGATCCCAAAAGAACAGTGCTTATTAAGATGTGAAAAATAAGCCACAAAACTTCTGTAATACAACTAAACCGTTGCTATAAGAAATAATCACAAGATGTACGCATTCACAGTGAACATAGTGAAAATAAGTGGAAGTGAAAAAACGGTTTAAAAACTGTGTATAGTGAAAATAAGCCACACGGCCTATGCAACGCAACTCTGTTGCTGAAGAACATAATCAGACAGAATATACATACAAATAAAAGTGAAAAAATAGCGATGAATAAATAAAAGTGAAAACCACAGAACAGCGACCCCTAAATCGGGGATGAGTGGATAAATAATTAGGTAAATGACATGAACTATATGGACCAAAATGAGTCCCAAAGAGATATATATGAATGACCCAACATATAATGAATCACATAAACTCCATATAATCCAGCCAAAAACATGAAGTCCAGTACACCTTAAACAGTGAAGGTGTTTTATAGTTCTTAGATTGTGCTGGTGCTTTAAAGGTGTATACACAAAAGGAGGAGATCCGACACTAGGCGAATTAGGTGTGTTAAACTTCTGTCTGCGGCCCCAATAGAGAGATTTAGCCTTACTAACTGTGCTGCCACCAATCATTTACCAGGAAGTTAGGGTAAATCTTCAACAGCAACACAGAAATAAAAAAACAGAAATAAAAATGCTCGTAGGCGAACGTTAGAACTCCTTTCAGATCTTTATTCGTGTCTGTGTCCCTGCTGCTTTCAGTTGGGCTGACTCCTGCATTTAAACACCTGGACTCCCTACTGGGGATCTTTGGTGTCGGGCACATTTACAGGTGTAACTGTAGGCTAAAACTGGCTGTAGATGGATCAAAATTCAGCCGGTTCAGTAGGGCCTGGACACATTTTGATCCATCTATCATCTGTCTGAGAACTCCTCTTGAACAGGACTGCTGGTAAATCTTCATTGCACATGCAGCCAATCAGCTGCAGCGCTGATCAGTGTATTTTAAAAGTGGGAGGAGTCCCTGCTCTCAGAATACAGTAGCTCAGTGGGTAGGATTCCCACATCTGCCTCCTATGTGCGAATGGGGAAATCTGTTCAGTTTTTTTAGATCAGTGAGGAGGCTAATTGAAAATAACTGATCACTGTATGGCCAGTTTAACTGCTTTACCGCTGCCCTATAGCAAAAATACTGCTACAGGGCAGCAGGTGTGCGCAAAAATCACATATGTATATGTGATTTTGCATTTGCAGATAGGGAGTGCACACAAGCCTCGCGCACGCCCAACCCATGCCACCAGTCATGGCCTCGGCTGTCAATCTCCGGGTCCCGGCTGACGATTACTTGCCGGCACCCGGTGATCGCCGAGTAATAACCGAACCGGATAGCGTATGTACTCTCCAGCGCCTCAGGAAATGCACAGCCAAAGGGAAGCCAAAGGAACCAGGACAGCGACAAAAAAAAGGAGATGCTTCAGGGATGCAGCCCCCCTCAGACAGGGAGATCAGCCACTAGATAAAGAATAAACAGGTGGCGCACACACCTAGTGCATTATCCAAGGTTTATTCAAAGGTGTAAAGGATAAAAACATACTCACAGACGAAGCACGTATCTAAAAAGTATTTGCATTATGAAGATGGCCACAACAGCAAGCAAGGTGTTCCAACTGTCAGTGCAGTCAAATGGCTGACGCGTTTCGGGGATGAGTCCCTTTCCTCAGAGCTGCTGACCAGCCTGTATGAAGATCAACCGGTAAATTAGCATGGCTGAATGCCTTGGGAGCAAAGCTCCATCTCCTCTACTTGTTAAAGGGCGAGGAGTTATAGGGGGTTATTTAAAGTGCAATATTTAGTTATTCATATAAATATATATATATATATATATATATATATATATATATATATATATACATACATACACACATACATATACACAGAAAGAAATAAATGAATGCATTATTTGCAAATATAAATGAATAATAATAATAGTAATACTGATAATAAAAATAGAGGTAAAAATAATAAATGTAAAGATCATAAAATGTGGTGGATTGTAGATAATTTGCAGTTAAAAATATATTGTATGTGGCTGCAGACTATATATATTTTCATTGGTTGCTGAAAATTAAAAACTTGTTATGGGAAATGGTAAAAAAAAATAAACTAAAAATAGTAAAAGGTTGTAAAAAATTATTATTATAACAATTATTATTCTCATAATAATTATGGAAGTAGAAAATGGGGGAAAAAATGAACCAAAAAATGTATTAATTAAAGAGGGAGAGAATGACAATAAAATACATTGAAAGTGTGTCTGTGGGTAAACTCATGACAATAAGGTGGCAGTTATCTGGAGAAATAAATGAAATGAATGAATAGAGTGTAGGTACCTCTTAGACTGGTACAGATGTGTAGTGGGTATGGTGGACTGATGGTAAGAACCCTGCTGCTGATACCTGAATGGGATAGTGTGGGTGCGTGCTTATAAACTGGGGGAAAATGGCTGCTGGAACACACGCCAACGTGGTTGTGCTCTCCAAAGCCAAATAGAAGGGACATGGGGAAGTGTTCCCGCTCATGAGGAGGGAGGAGCGGCCGCTGAAACGCACGCAGTGACCTTCCTGCGTTCCACAAGCCAGAACCAGGAGTGCGCTCCGGATGCCGTCACATCCGGCATCACTGGGACAAA